AGGAGCCCGGCCCCACCCTTGCCTGGTTTATTTCATTTCTTGTGGGACCCTTATTTAGGAACAATCATCTCTGTGTAGAAACCAACTCTTCTTTAACCGTTAGGTTGCAATGCTACCAGCGTGGTAAGAAAACAAGTGTTTGGGCTTGAGAATTGGTCTGGAAACGAGTTTCCTTTGCCCTTCATTTGTATGTAGTGGAAGACTCCTGTCTCCTCTTCTGTCTTGTTAGGGAGGCTGAAGAAATAAGGCTTTTGCTTTAGTAGGAGACTTTCCTTATATTTCAGATGAAAATAAAGGAGCTAGCAGAGGCTGTAGAGCGGGTTAGCCATAGCTACATGCCGCAAAACAGAGCGCCATAAAGTCGCTTGCTTAGAAAACTGGATGCTCTCTGTCCTTTCATTATAAACAAGTCTGTTCGTTAGCTGGAAAAGAAACTTCAAACACTGTCCAGACCAGAACAAACTTGTATCTCTGATCTGTTCAAATAGGAGCCTTTGCCAGGAGGGTTTGCAGTAGATTAAGGTATTTTTTCCTGCAGGGAGGAATGTGCTTGCTGTGGTCTTTAATAAATCCCTTACAATGGAGATACCTTAGAGTCCATTATCTAACCAGATAGGCAGGTCACAGCTACTTGGTTAACGCTGCAGATGAAAGGACTGGGGAATTGTCCCGGTTCCTGAGTACATACTGGGTTTCTCCGGGAGGCTGTGTGTGTTCTGGTGTGGTGAGGGACGCTGACCCTGCCCGCTCGGGGGCAGGGATTGTCTGCTGGTATCAGCTGTCTCCATCAGGGTTTATTGGTAGAGTCCATCAGCATACCTTATCAGCAGGATTTTGCCGTGTACCAGCATTTCTGGCCTCTCATGGAGTTTCCGCTGCCTTTTGAGCATGTGAAAACCTCTTTTTAACATTTCTGAAGTAAAGAGAGAATATATTCTTCAGAGCCTGTTCTTACCATGCAAGCTCCACACTCTCCTTCCAACCTGCCACCCTTTCTGCCCCCAAGTGACACGGGAGACTCACTCAGGTGGAAATACAGATTTTCCTTCAGGATTGCATCCAGGGAGGTCTCTGTGGCAGGCAGGGGAGAGCTGGTGCCCAGGGCTGAGCCGCAGCAGCCTGTGGCGCGATGCCCTGGATGGGCTCCAAGCACACGCTCGCTCGTGGAGCACATCCAGCCCCGCGGCGCTGCTGAGTCTCCCCGGCATGGTGGTGCCTCCTGCCCTGTCTCCTGTCCTTCCTCGGCAGAGAGAGAACCGATTTCTCAGCCCTCATTTAGTCCCAGCGAGAGGAGGGGTGATGTTCAGGCTGGCAGACGTGCAGCTGCCACGTGGGCAGGTAGCAGGTCTCAGTCGTAAATGGTTTGCAGGCACACTGGAAAACGGTGCTGTTCAAGGAGTTACAGAGCAATGCCCCTGGAAAATAACTTAAATATGGCCTGTGGCCAGGGTGAAGCTGGCACTGAGACAGGGATTCGTCACAAAGACGTCGGCTCCAGCTGCAGGGGCACACATGGACTCCTGGCTGTGGCGTTTTCCACCTGCCCTCAGTGGCATGCTCGTGCTGGCCCAAGCAGCCAAAACGGCCACATTTTGTGCCACATTCAGGAAGAAAATACAAACCGATCTGGATGGGGAATGGCAAGAGAGCTCTGAACCGTGTGAGTATGGACGGACAGTCTTTGCTGCGGGCACCGAGCTGATGCGGAGGTGTGGACGTCAGTCCTGACGGCTCCAGGGTGGGATGCTCCACTGGCTAGGGCAAGCGGCTTCTGCTCAAGGGACAGTAAAGTGTGGTCTCTTCACCAGAGGTCTTCAGGCTATTGGCACCAACAGACACAAGCCCCCACTGAGAAATGGGGACTGTACTGTCCACGTTGCTGTGATGTCCTTTACAAATTTTTTAATTAGTTTGGAAAAAAAAAAAAAAAAATTGAGGTCATGTGAACACAAGTGTCTGCAAATAACCTCTGGACACAGCTATGTGGAGATCTACAGAAAGGCTCATCTAGGACAGGCCGGAGGTCGCAGCTTCCCACGGGTTCCCAGGCGCTTGCAGCAGCACTGAGCTGCGGATGTGGCCCCGGGGTCCCAGCACACTGTGCTGGAAACCAGACTCCAGGGCACGCTTCCCCACCATCCCCATCGATGGTAGTGACCATTGCTGGCTGCTGCCTGTGACTTGCTTTCTAGAAATCTTTGTAAGATCGGAGATGGTGAAGCAGAAGTTGGGGTAGGCAGGTTTTTGCACTTGGTCTGGGTGTTTTGATTTGCAGTCTGTGCTCCCTGCAGTGGAGAGAAAGTGTCATCCGATGTCTCCTCTCTGCATGGCCCCAGAGATCACACTGGGACCACACCGCTGGGGCAAGCTAAGGTGGGTGCCCACATTTGGGCAGCATCTTGACACCTCGGTACTGGGTACGCTCCCACCAGCCACAGAGAGTCTGTAGGACTGGGTCTTCGGAGACTGCTTACCCCATGCTTTAAAAAAGCACAACGGTTACTCGTTTAATTTAATATAATGCCTGAAACAAGCACAGGAGAGGTGTAGAGGATAGGGAAAAGCCCAGCGCGTCTCTCTCGGCCTCGTGCAGGTCCCTGTGAGGATTACAGCGAGCAGGAGCTGTGCAGTGAGCATCGTCTGCCCATTTGCAGGACTCCTCTGGCCGCTGCTCCAACTACAAACTACATGCAGCTCTGCGCGAGCCTGCACGTGAACGTGTGCGTGTGCATAAAAATCCTTGCTAAGGTAGTAAATAATAGGATTACAAATTTCATCAAGCTCAAGTCTGCCAGGCACTCAGCTGGAGCTTTTCCAAAGCCTGGCAACCAAAGTGCAGGGCTCAGCATGCTGAGCTCTGCTCCAACTTCAGCCCGCAAAGCACATTTCTGGCAGGAGGCTCCAGGCTCCCAGGAAGCCTCTGAGATACGGTGTGGCTACAGATGCAGCTCAAACAATGGCCTTGCATAGTAGATACTTGAAGTTTATGTGTTTCATATAATGTAAAGGTGTTGACAATTTTACTATCATTACTGTTTTAATAAATTGAACAAACAGAACAGAGTGCAGTTAGTAAAAGGTACTGTATGAGATTGAAAGTTAGGTTGTATTGCTATCTCTCCTTTACAAGAAGCATACCCATGTCAATATTTTTCTATGTTGGACTTGAGCATCAAGTCCTATTATAAAAACCAGAATTTAATTGAACCAAGATGAAAAAAAAGTCATGTTCTTATCAAATACTCATTGCAGACATTGGCAGAAAGTTGTTTTTCTCAGTTTTTAGTCTTTGTTATGTACCTGGTGCCAAAACATCTGTTCACTGAAAATTACCCCATTGCCATTTAAGAATAGGCTTTGTAGTCTTCATTTAACACCTGGGTCTTAAACTAGTCACGTAGGCTGCTTTTATAGGAGGTGTTTATGCTGCAGAGAGAAAGATTAGCACATGTTTCTTTTCCTTGTGATAAGTGTCTAAAGGAAGCCAGACAAATTCTACACTAAAGAAAATAGAGTTTTCACTTTGAGTTTTATAATGTAAATTGACTTGTGGTCTTAAAATATTGTAATGTATCTTGATTGTTTCCAGAAAATTGCGCTTTCAGCAAGGTCCACTAGCATGTTAAAATGCAGCACAACTCTAGTAATTCTAGGCTGGGATCTTATCTTAACACTCATACTGAAAATCGTAATGCTGAGGAGTTAGCAAAATGCTTGCAGGGTGATTTGAATCAATAGCTAATTATTCAGAAGAAATTTGCTAGCTCTGCAAAACTTTCAACCTTACAAATTGCTGAATGGTTTTATCATCATAGTGCCTCACTACCACTGGGAAGTGACGCCAGGAAATCATGTTTGAACAAACCCTTTGTTTTTTTGCTGTGGAGGAGTTAAATATCTGATGCTCTCTGTCCCCGATCTCAAGCAGTAAAGAAAATATTTCTGCAAAAATGATCCTGTTCTGTGTAGGATAATGCATGACACTTGCTTGTTCCTAGCATCCTGCAATAAGGCATTAAACTGATCTTCATACAGCCCTTTCAGTATCCTTTATATCATCTCAGCTGTAGTATCAGCTGCTCTGACACAGTTTAAATGGTGATATGCAAATATGTCATATGTTAAATTACAGTAGTTTAAATGGAAGTGAGTTCTAAATATTTAAATTCAGTGGGAAAGGTAGCAGAGGTGTCAGAGTAACTGAAAGATCCTTGTGAGCTTGAAGCAAACCACTTGAGGTAGTCGTTTACTTTGGGATTTCTCCCCGTAGGTTTCTACAAGTCTACATTCAATAAACATGACTGTTACTTTAAGATCAGTAAAAAAAATTACTAAAAGAGAAATGCATTGCTCAAGGTGGTAAAAAAATTATCCATGGATATCTGTGTGTGCATGTACATATGTACACATGCATTTGTGAATAGATGCAGCTACAATCTTTTAGACTCGTAAGTTGCTAATCAGCAGATCCTGACTGAAGAATTTGGCTAGAAAATTTTCCTGTCAAAAATGTGATTTCACTGAAGTCCGAGTATGCCACAGAAGAATGTCTGATTGAGTTAACCTCAGTTAAAGAAAACAATACACCCAGTTCCAAAATGACATTTTTAAACAGAAACCTATTGTTTAACTTAGTAAATGCTCCTTTGAAAACCCCCAGATCTTTGACCAATGATTTCAAAAAACTTCTTTTCCTCCGCTATGTTTTCCATGGGAGGTACTGCAGTGTCCTGCTCTGCTTACCCAGGACAGATTTGATCCCTGTCTAACTGATCTTCAAAGCAGGCAACCCACTCTGTTAACTTGCAGCCCTTCACCCCAGCCTTGGCTCACCCCTCTGTATCAAGGGAGAATAATCAACCATTTGTCTTGAAGGCCATTTCCAACCCAAACTGGTTAAGGCATCTGAATGTCAAGCAGTAAACTCGGCATCTGTGTGGTTTTACAGTGCAAAATGAGCCACTTCTCCCAATTTCTAGTCATGTAAGCATAGGTAAGGCATTTAAAAAGCTTACAGTCCCTATTGCACAGATACTATGTTAGGTGGAGTATAAAGCCATCACTAGCTACTGGATAATATCTGAAACACTTGTGCATCCCTAGATGTGCCTGTGTGTTTCTTGTTCTTGGGCAAAATTAGATTAACTAGGCATATGCTAGAATTAGATGTGGTATAGCTACTCAAGTGTTACGTCAGACTTCTGAGTGTGCTGGTTAGAGCCGAAATCTCCAGAGCCAAGCTTTACTTTGAAGATTGTGTTTGCATTAGCCTGTTTGAGTACATCAGAAGCAAAACTGCTGTAACAGAGCATCAGTAGCATGGGGCTGCATAGGAGTTGGCTCGCATGGCGGCCATAGGAATAGTTGGACATTAACAAAGGAGGTGGTAGAGGAGCAAGAATGTGCGTAGATGTGATGCTGGCATACTTTGGCCAAAAATGATGCTGGGCATGATGTGCTGGATCATTCTGGCATGGTGTTCACGCTGTTTCTAGCAGGTGATGGCAATTAAGGCATCTCCTGTTTTCACATTCCAGTTCATTGGTGGTGATGATCAAATGTCACATGAATCCTTTTGGTGGATGTGCACCCACCGTCATGAATGATGGATGCATAACTTGGCATGCGGTTAGTCTTCCATGGGCTATTTGCTAATCCAGTGCTAGCCTTTTCTAGTCTGCGCCCGCTAGGAGGTCCTCCTTTCCTTTCACATGGGTCCTGCCACTGTCACTGTGCTTTTGTCCCTTTAGGACAAAGTTTCCTTTTTGCCGCTTTAGGACAAAGTTGTGCCCTGAAATCCCACAGAGACTGAAGCCAGGGGGTGCTTGGTAAGCAGGCATTGCATGAGGCAAAGACGTGAAACCTGTGCACTGAGCTGTTTGCCTGGTGGCCTGCAGTGTTCAGGGCACTCCTCACTACCTAGAAGGCTTTATACAGTCTTGTCCCGGGCTTGCTTGCTGCCTCTTGAGAAGTCACCACAGCTAAAGTCAGTTGAAGGTTTGATCCCCACTGTGCTGTAAGATGCTCCCTGCCAGGGCCTTGGATGTGCTCTGTGCCAGGGTCTGCAATAGCCAGTTGGTGGTGGCCAGGGCACGGGATACGGGACTCCTCCACTAAAGGCACTGGAGATGGTGGAGGTCCTGTTCCCCATAGCCTTGGAGGGCAGAAGAGCAGCTTCTGTGGGTATCTGGCTGGCCAAATTTAGTTACTAATGTGGTGTCCGGAAATTGGGACCCAGCATCTCATAGAAGCACGCAGAGACGGGCTCGAGTGAAGAACAGTGATGATTTCAACTGTGGCTGAAGCGCTTGGCTAAGGTCATCTAGACTTTAAAAAAGAAAATTGCATGTAACCAAACACTGGCACGCATGTGTCATTTGCGAGATGAAAGGTTTGCTCACAGGGTGTGAGCTGTAAGAGGAGCAGTGATGCTTTTGTGAGAATTTAAAAAATGTTTCAGTCAGTGCCACAGTGAAGAGTTGTGTGAGGCCAGTAGCTAGAAAGACCATACCACCAACATGTAGAAATGTCTCCCAAATTTTAAACATGGAAAGAAAATAAAATCTGCTGGAATCTTCTTATTCCAGTTCCGAGGGAGGGTTGGGTGTTTGTTTTTTTTTTTACCTTTAGGCTATGTGATTTTACTTAAAAATAGAGATAAAATTATCTTCAGTTTTGCCTTTTGATTTGCAATCTGGTGTGGTCCTGTGCGTGGTTAATGACTTTGGAAGATCATGAAGAAAAGAAAGAGCAAGTGTGAAACCAGCCCTTTTGAAAGCCATTTTATATATGTTGGATTCACACTACTCAAGTAATGCAGAGCCAGCATTGCCTGCTTCTGGGCTTGATAGAGGATCCCAAACCAGATAAATAACCCATAGTAATGTTTCTAGCCACCTAGTACAATTTTCTCGTGAATCCCACAAAGCTCAGTTTGGAAGTTTTGTAGAATTACAGAAATGTGACGATTCTTCCAACTGTTGTGCTGTATTTAGAATAAATTACTTCTTTGCTCTTTATCATCTCCCGGTAGGCAGCCGTGGAGTTTGGGTTTTAACTTTGCAGACGCGTTAGTACTTAAATTCTCCTCTCCCCTTCCCCGGCATTTTCTGGCTCGAGAGATTTTGGAATCCACATTACCATGTAAATGCTACTAAAGCCATGTCATCTGCCTTTCCTGAACATGCAGGTATTCAGGAGTAGAATTACTGACATGGGGGAGGTTTTTTCTCTTTAAGCTTTTTAAATCCGCAAGTAAATATAGTGATCTGATTTTCCAGCAGCAAGTATTCATGTAACTTGATCAGATCTCAGGATCTTTGAGAAAAACCACATGCCATTTAGCCTCTTTCTATGCAGAGGAATTTGGACAATTCATCATTATACTGAGGGCCTTATTAGTTGACAGAAGGGTTAACTGACCTCCTTCAAACAGGAACTCAGTGGTTTGCCCGCAGGGAACATATTCCATGGCGAGTTGACTACTTAAGCACTTTCGATGTAAAGTAAAAACAATCTCGTGTCAGGGTATAATTCAAAGAACAAAGGACCATTTTGCTCAATTGTGCAGGCAGCAGAAGTTATTTCTGTCTCTTGCTTATCATATTCACATTGTACAAGAAAGTCGTTTTGTTGAGGAGCGATTTGTTCTGCTGAGGCTCTTTGTGTAATTTTTGAACTGAAGACCACCAATGTTTTGGGATTGAAGCAAACGATGTACAATCTTGAAGACGGCTTTGTGTTTTGCCCTTTTTTCAAGGGGGCATGTGCTTGGAGTGTGTGAATTGATTTATGGACCTTTTTGAGCCATTAACCTCCTTCAAGAATGCCTGGTAAATGGATGTGTAAGTGAAGGCTTTTGTCAGGTATCACAGCCCTTCTCCTGTTCAAGAAATGTGTGCTTGACCTGCTTTGGGTGTACTCTGCCACAATGGTAGGTAGATGACCTCCCTATTTTCAAGGCCTCTCTTTTTGTTCTTTGCTGACATCCCTTTATTAAAAGCTTTGAAGGTTGGTAATTTCCTCTGCTGCCGCCTGTGTAATTAAGGAGGAGGAGAGGTCAAGTGGCAGCCCCAATGCATGGAAAGGCTTCTCCTGATAGTGTTATTGTGTACAAAGCGTGTCTGTGCTTTTAGAAGTGACTGTGCATCAGTAAGTTAATTGAGTAACTTCTCTTCGTGGTGGGTTAGTGACAAAGAAGTGCATCTTTATTCTAAAAGCTTGTTAAAAAAGGGTGTTGCCCAGACCGTATCACTCCAATTTGGCAACCACCTGCAGCCCCCGGCTCTTACCTGATTAGCATATAAAGATAGGTAGGTGTTCACAGTTACAAAAATAAAATAAGAATGAAAGTCCATTTCAGGAAGGTGTGAAAACTAACTCCAGAGTTGGTGCTCAAAGTGTGAAATAATGTAAAAAAAAAAAAAAATCTGTTAATTGTCCTCATTCCCACTTGCCTGTGACAAGCAGTGTGTGGGCTCTTGGTTGTTAGCACCTGTGTTGGAGAAGACTTCTCTCTTCTCCCTCAGACAGGGCTGACCATGACCACATTCTTTGTTCTATTCTACTTTCCTCTGCCTGATGTTTTTTCCCCATTTTCTGTATAACCAAAATGTCAGCCCAGTGCCAGGCTCCTTGATGCAGGTTGTGTGTTTTCCCACCATCTGTGGCAGGAGCACCTCCTGAGCCAGGCCCTGTACCTCTGCATAGAAGATCTCTCAAGGGCTGTTAGTCCATAAATTTGTCATGTACTTCTTTGAAGCCACCTCAACTTTTAGCACGCATGGTGCCTTGCGGCAGGGAGCTCCACCACTTAGTTAAGTGCTGTGTAATCAACTGTCTCCTTTTATTGTGCTGTTTGTGGGAGGTGCAGGGGGAGGGTGGTTGATTTTTGATCTGCTGTATTCCTCAGTTGACCCCTACTCCTGTGCTGGAGGAGACAGTAAATGGTTGTTCCTTCTTCACTTTTTCTGTTTCACTCATGTTTTGCTCTTAAATCCCTCTGCTATGTGCCTGCCTGTTGTTTCTTTTCCTGTCTGGAAAGTCTTACATTACTTACTCTTCATTGTAGGAGTGAAACTGGGATCTTTGTCTTCAATTGCTATCCAGTTGACATCCAAACATTGCAAAAGTGTCTATCCTTCCTTGTGCCTGTTTCTGAGATCTGCAAATCCTGGTCTCTCCTAGAGTTATTTGTCTCCTCTTTCACACTCAGCCCTGGTTCCCCCATACCCAAGCAGACACATCCATAATTAGCTGATTATCATGCAGACACAGACCACTTTGATACTCATTTCCTTACTTCATTACAACTGGTTGAATTTTTTTCCTTCTCCATGCCAATGTCAACGTCATTTCCCTCACCGTAGCCTTCATGCATGCCACCTTCTCCTTCCAGCTTGTGATTGCAATCCTCATGGCATCCAGACCCCACAATGTGACCGTGCCACCGGGCAGTGCATCTGCAACGAAGGGGTGGAAGGGCCACGCTGTGACAAGTGCTCCCGGGGCTACTCGGGCTTCTTCCCCGACTGCGTGCCATGCCACCAGTGCTTCGCCCTCTGGGATGTGATCATCAGCGAGCTGGCTAATAGGACCCAGCAGTTCCTGGATAGGGCTAATGCCCTCAAAATCACTGGAGTCACTGGCCCATACCAGCAGACGCTCAACACCCTGGAGGAGAAACTCAGTGAAATTAAAACCATCATCGCTCAAAATCCAGCTGCCGAGCCCCTGAAGAACATTGGGAATCTCTTCGAGGAAGCAGAGTGAGTACAGTCGCAGTTACGTGGCTAAGGGAAGGAGTGGGAGTGCCAGCGAGCTGGGGTTTACTTGAGTTACTGATGCCCCCACGCTGAGCTGAGGACATCCCGCCTCCGCTCCTCTGGCTGGGCGAGGTGCGCTGCGGCTCCTGGTGCTGGTGGAGGACCTCACCATGCTCAGCACCAGCAGCGAGCATCCGTCCCACAAGCAGAGACCTGGCTGGGGAAGGTAGGAGCAGCATAGCTGCCATCCTCTGGGCAGGGGTTGTCCTGCTCCCACTGCACACCAGGCAGCTAATTACCGCCAAGCCACTCACAGCTTGCCTTGCGCTCCCCCGGGGCAAAGGACAAACACTGCTATTATGTGAGAGAATGAAGAGGGGAGAGATTAAATTCCTGTGTAGCCGATGAGTTGGAAACTTGGGCTCCTTTCTGCACTCTGAGCCTGTGTGTGGGGGAAGCACCAGCTTTATAACAAGGATTGTTTCCATTTTTCTCAGGGTAGGAGCTTTGTATTTTGTTTCAGGGCTAAGCATACAAAAGATGGTAGTTTGTGCTTTTGGAGATGGGGCACTAACATCAAGTAGGATTACAGATGCTTTCTAAGCCCTGCGTGCAACTGCTTGAGCTTGCTTGTGCATTGTGAAGGGGACTGCACAAAGCAGAGGGCCAAGGATTAAAGCACAAATGTCTCAATTAGGGATATGCTTGTGCCCTGCAGCTCCCTCTCTCCAGCTGGAGAGCTGGGGGTTGCTGCTGCAGTTGGGCTCTGCGTGTACTGAGGCAGGTCAGAGCAGCTGAGGAGCTGCTTTTCCCTAACGTGTATATATGTATCTGTTCTTGCTCCTCTCTGGCTGTATAGAAGTACTGGGCTTTGAAGGACTCCTGGAAAACAGCAGGCTGTTGAGCTATTGAGAGAGCTGTAAGTTGATCACAGAGCTTAAATACTGCCTGATTCTTTCAGAATGAGGAAACACTTGGATCGGTGAGATCACCATCGATGGGAATAGCTTCCTGTGCCCACTTCTGTTCCACAGCAGCACTGATGTGTAACATACACTTGCCTTTCCTTTTAGGGTTATCCCACTAGCTAAAGCCTGCTCTGTGGCTCGCTGAGGCCATGCTGAATGCTGAGGGTGGGAGGTTTTCTTTCATAGCCCTACAGAAACGGCTGCTGAGGAGGGATCTTCACAGACAAGTTAAAAGAATCCTTTGTGTTAAAACTAAGCCTTGCCCCCCAGCTTCCTGAAGTTCAACTCTGTCCCATGAGCTCGTAGTAATCAAAACTGCATTTGTAGCTGTGTGGGATGGGAAGCAAATTATGTATGGATCATAGTAGTCAACTTTGACCTATGCAGTTGCCACGATACAAGAGCATTACACCAGTCCTCTGGAATCTGCCTCCAGTTAATCTTACACAAAGCAGCTGTTTTCTGAGCAATTTGGTGCTTTGAGTTTATAAACATGCTGTAGATTAAAAAGTAGTTTTGTATGATAAAGGAAACAAAACAGTATTCTAGGTACACATGTTGTTACAAATCACAGCTCCACTGAGGAGGACAGGTCCTGCTGTGGGAGAAGCTCAGCATGT